GGCTGTGGCCCCTGCTAAGAAGGGTTGAGAAGGGGCACTGGGCCAAAGGGGAAGTAGCCCAGGGAAGATATGTGGACAAGAGGGGAAAGAAGGAGGGCAGAGGGAGGCTGCTGCTAGAGGGTCCCTGGGTTGGGACCCAGAGTAGTGGGTGGGCCTGGGTGACCCACTTATGTCTCAAAAAATATTTAAATTTAGACTTTGTGGTTGGCCACTGAGGCAGGTGCTAGCTGAAGGACTGTTGTCCTTTCCTCCTCTCCCCCACCCCCTCCCGGAAGGGGGTGAGAAGGCAGTAGGAGGCACTGCTGGAGGGCAGTGTCCTGAAGAGGACGCTGCCGAGTGGAGAGCAACGTGGGTCCCAAACCAGCAGAGCAGATGACGGGCAAGACACCACGTGCAGAGGGCGCTCAGCAGCTGACAAGAGCTAATTCCCGGAGCAGCCAGCAGGAGGCACCAGCAGTGGTGAGTCATGACCCCGTGACACAGTACAATATATAAATCCTTGAACTTTGATTCACTACAGCTCTAAGAATACTATCCAACAAAAATGGCCACCAAAACGATTCATTTTATCTAATTGAGAGAAAAGGAAAAATTTCAAATGTGACCCAGTTATGTCTCAAAAAATATTTAAATTTTCATTCTTTTCTGAAAAGTAACTGTGTAAAAATGGAGATTTCTTAGGCATATAGTCCACTCCCAGTGGGCATCCAGAGTCTATCTGCTTTCTTAGTCACAAAAAATCAGTTTACAGTAGTGTGGTTTTTTTATTCCTGTTAGCCCTGCAAAGATAACATAGCTAAGAAAGGTGGATTTTACTGCATTTTCAATGGAATTGTTCACTAAATTACGATCAGCAAACCCACTGAAGTCACAAAGGTGCTCACAGGTGTACCTGAAGCTATAATCTGAAGATCTGGGGGTTGAACAAGTGTAACTGAGAGCCTAAATTGCGACTCCACAACCCTTATTGCTGGTGGTGATATATGAGAAGGAAGGAACACAACTTCTTTCATTAGCAGCCAAATTATGGTTACAGGGCTGGCAGCCAGAAAGCAAAAACAAAAACATGTATTTATGTTATGGAAATCTCAGAGAACCTCAAGTGGCTTTTTCAGCTTAAAAACTGCACTTGCACACTGGATATTGTTCACCTTTATGCCCTCCCTGGGGTTTGCCTTTTCTTTTGAACTTAACCAAGAAGAAACCTAGAACTTTGCCTAAGTTTTCTCCCACAGTTAGCTGTTCCTGTGTTTTTTGCTAAGTCTCTTTCTGGTACCATTTGTCTGACTGTATCTCTGTACAAGAACCTAGAATACAGCAAGACAATGCAACATTGCCAAACCCAAAGCATTCAAAAATCAGCATTAACATCCTGAAACCTTCAAAATCAATAATACATTTGTAGGGTTTTTCCTTTAGCGTTGGGAGATGGTTTGAGCCTTTAGCAGGAAGCTATGCTTCCACAGTGTGAGAGCATCTCAGGTTCAAAATTCAACCTTAAAGGTGCATGAAAAGGTTTTGGACCTTTTTACTCCTTCCTTGGAAGGGGATTCCTTTTTTTTTTTTCCCTTATGCCTGGGATGAGGAGTTGCCATTTTGTCCTTGTCCATTCCCCTCTTTTTACACCCCCATTTGGTCTCCTCCTCACAGTCCCCTTAGTCACCTCTGATCCCACACATTTCCTCTTTTGTGCCCTACATTCTTCTGCCTTTCTCCTTGGGCCTTCCGCTACACCTCTTCAGTCTCTCATTTGCTCCGTACCTTGCACTGTCTCAGCAAAGCATCCTACCTAACCCACTAAACTCACCTTCCCAGAGGGAACCTGGGTTCAGTCTCATTGAATACAAGGGGAACTGGAGGGTATTGTGGGGAAAACTGTCTTCAATGCTGGGGGGAGGGGGATATCACAAGGGGTCACAGACCCACCCAAAAAAATAAACCAAACTGGGTTGCTTAGGGGCACCCTTTAGGTATCATCTTACCAAAGCTGCTGCTCCACATCCCAGTTTCCACTCCAGCACGGGACTGGCCTGGTCACCTCAACATCATACACATAGAGGAGGAACTGTACCACTATCCAACCCCACCCATCTCTCTGTGCTGCCTCCCTGCCCACAGCCCGAGGGAGGGCTGCAAGCCCAGTCAGAATCTGATTGACTGGCTATTTGGGAGCAGGCTAGACTGTGCTCAAATTGTAGGGGTTTTAGTCCTGGGGAAGGGTTAGTGGGCTGACAAGGGTGTGTCCCTAAGGCCAGGGAGAAGCTCCCACCTCTGTCAGACAAGAGCAGGAGCAAGGAAGATCAGTGTTTAATGTAGGGGTTCTCACGACAAAATTGTTGGTGGCCTCAGAGTGTGGCCACCATGAACTCTTGCTCGTGGACGCTCTGACAAATTTTCCTAAAGTACTTAATTAACTTTAAGAAAAACAAATACATATGCACATGTCCAAATCACTGTAGTGTATTTATGTAGGGTTGGTGGGGGGGAGAGACTCAATAATAAAAGTAATGTACAGCTGTATTTTGGTGCCCCGGCCCTCGCTGCCCCCTCTGCCCTTCCCCCCCACCTATTGCCTGTAGTCCCTGTTGCCCCTTGCTGCCTTCCCCGCCCCCCCTGCTGCCTCTCTGGGCTGCACATCATCTCCTGAGCCCTGCTGCTTCCCCCCCCGGCAAGCTCTCTTCTGCAGCCTCACACCCCAGGTTCACCCTGCTCGTTGCCTCTTGACCACAGTGCCTGGTAAGGCCAGTCCTGCTGAAGCCCTGCCTCCCTGGGATGAAGCCAACAGCTGGAGCCCATGGCTGGAGCCAGGGGTGGAGGGCCTGAAGCCCAGAGCCCCGTAGCTGAAGCTGGAGGGGGTGGGGGGCTGAAGCCCATGGCTGGAGCCATATGGCTGAAGTGGAGCAGGGAGAGGGTGAGCCTATAGTTGAAGCTGGGGTGGGTGGGTGAGGGTGACATGTGAAGCCCACCATCGGAGCCTCTGGCTGAACCAGGTAAGGGGGGGCTGAAGCTCACCCCCAGAGTCCTGCAGCTGACGAGGGGGTGGGAGGAGCTGAAACCAGCCTCCAGAGCCTCCAGCTCAATCAGGGGATGGGGCTGAAGCCCACCCCTAGAGTCCTGCAGCTGAAGATTGGGGTTGGGGGCTGAAGCCCTCCCCCGGAGCCCTTTGGGTGCTGTAGGGAGGGGCAGGTTCTTTGTCCCTTTCCCTATCTTTCCCCAGGAGACTGTCGTGGCTGCAGGAAAACCCCTAGTAGCCTCATGCGGACGCAGTGGCCGCATTTGAGAAATGCTGACTTAAAGCATATGGGATTGAAGATCTGACAGAAAAATTCTAAGATTGGTGTCAGAGCACAATTGATGTGGGGAATAGGATTTTTGGGTGTAGAATTAATTGCTGGCAAGCAGATGTAGGGGTAATGAACTTCTTTCAGGCTACCTGAAGCAGCTACAGCCTGTGGAGAAACATTGGCCATCTTGCCAGGCTTCAGATACAGTGAAATAGTGGGAGATGATGGCCATTTGGGATTCAGGAAACTTTGCAAGAAGGCAGGAAAGGGGGAATTGCAATATGGCTAACTGAAAGCATTAGACAGACTGTAAAACCATGATTTTATCTTAAGTAAATCACTGTTAAAACAATGAATTTTGGCTGGTTTTTATTGCATTTTTTTTGTTTTTGGCCTTATAGTTTATGAGTCTTTAGGGGACAGATTAGGTTTTCAAGCTTTTCTCTGCAAATAAACGGGCTAGAAACTTTAAAACATTAAAAAAAAAGTCTGAGATTGTCACATTCACATGACTCTAGGAGCTTTGGATCATCAGATATCACAAGATTCATTATAAAATTCTGAGATTTGGCAACAACACCCTGCTATGAGTCCTTTAAGGCTAAATGCTTTTGTCACAATAAAACCCACAGGGTGGAGAAGGGGGTGTTAAAAGTGGACAAAACTCAGCAAATGAAAATTTGCAGAGTTAGGGTCAGATTCCCTCTTCTGAGAATAAGGGGGAGTAGGATTGCATATCTATGTGGGAAGACATCTACACCAATTTTAATTCCTGATCTTCACTATCCTTAGCAGCACATATCCCTCATGAGCTTTGTTACCACTGGCCCTCTTACCACTGAGCTTTGTCCTAATCCTAGCAGGGTCAAGGTAAGGAGCAAAAAGGTTAATGCTGTAGAAGTACTTCTGCCAAAGGAATTTCTTTCAGTTTTGGAGGGGAATAAGTAATGTAATGTGGCACTTCCTAGCTGCCCTCTCATGTCCTCTGCAGACTCATTGAACCACACATCTTTCATGACATTGCATACTTGAACTCCTTAAGTAAGTGAAGCATGTAGCACAGCTGTTCCACTTCCTGTTGGTTTTGGGGGGGTTATGATTTATCTTATATTCATTGGCTCCACAACTTTTCCAGTGTTTGGTTGGGGGGGGGGGGGGGAAGAGATTTAAAGTTGAACTTCACATTTGGAATTTTCAGGCTCTCCAGAGGTTAGGGGTTTTGTTTTTTAGTTAAGTCTCTCCAAAAGTTCTGTTCCAAAGCTAGAATTTGAGTTCAGCAGATGTAAGTTTCCATGTCATAAATTTAGTTTAGGTTTTAAAGAATTTATTAATAATGTCTTGTCGATAAGACTCCCTGTGGAATTTCCACCGACTCCAGCAGAGCTTGCAAAACCACATAAAATTGGGGTGGGGTGTGTACGTACATACAGCTCTTTCGGTCCCCCTTATGTGGGTCTCACAGTTCTGATCCATTTACCCCCAGTGCTGCTCCTCAGAGGCCCTGCTAAATCAGAGAAATATGGGTGGTTTTTTTAGGCTAAATCCCCGGAAGGGTGTTACAAATCTAGCTGGCAGTGAAGAGGCAATCAAGTGCAGCTAAACTTAGTCTGGCTAAGAACATAAGGTGGTTTGGGCCCTCTTCAGGTGAAGGAGAAACAGGGGTTGGATTTTCTTTTGCTTACGAAGGGTCCTTCTATGATTCTTCTCTCTAGCTACCTTTGCCATGCCAGAATCCTGTTTCTCCAGACTGCTTCCTTTCTCCCAGTCTCTTGTGTGCACTCCTGGGGGAATTCTGCAACAAAAAATTAAGAATTCTGTGCACAACATTTTAAAATTCTGCATATTTTATTTGTCAAAATAACACCACATAATCACACCAGTTTCCATTATTTTTGGTCATTTATTTCAAAATACCTGTCAGCGAGTATGTCTGTAACAATACAGACAACAAAAGATTCAGGAAATGTTTTTTTGACAAATAGATTCCTTACTAGACATATTAATACAGAACTCAGAGTAATAATTCATTTAAACTACAATACAGAACCATATTTCCCACACTCCTCAGAGGCGGTGCAAAGGCTTGGGGGAGCCAAGGGTAATGGAGGAGCTGAGGGAGAGGGAAGTAAATTGCTGGGAAGGAGCCTGCGTGTGAACGTGGAGGCTTGTTGGGTATGGGTGGAAAAAGTATGGAACAGGCTTTTTTGGGGGTGGGGAGGGATTGTAAGGGAGCTTCCCCCATGCAGACCCGGGCTGACCCCTAGCATGTCCCATTCAGCCAGGCACATCTGCCCCTTTCCCCATGTGTCCTTGTTCCCCTGTCCACGTGTTCCTCTACCCCCACTCAGGCACTGCCTCCCCATGCCATATGTGGCTCTGTACCTAAGTTCCCTGTAAGCTGCATGGCTGGGCGGCTGCCAAGCAGGCTATCAAGTGCCTTGCAGTTCAGGTGTCCCTCCCTCCGCCCCACTGCCATGCTGCTCCTGCCCTGTCTTGGAGCTGCTCCTTGGAGCCTCCTGGTTGCTGTGCAGAGATTTGGGGGGGAGGGGGCAGGGGAAGTGGTGTTGATGTCTGGGTATCCTCCCCTGCCTCTGTACCTCATCTCCACAGAGCAGTGGAGACGGGACAGGACAGGGCTCAGGACAGAGCTGCTGCTATGTCTGAACTTGCTGATCTACTTAAAAGGGCAGCACACTTAAAGTGGCATCAGCGTACTTAAAGGGGCAATGCACATCTGTCTGTCACACATACACACAAGCTCTGTCTTTCACACTCACCTCCGAACACGTACTTACGTTGTTGTTACTACTTCACACTTCTTTCAAAGTGTGTTTTAGTTTTTTGACTAGTCTATGCATTTCATAATTTTTTTCTCTTACTTTTAAATTTAATTCTTTGAGTAGTGAGTTCTAAAATGCATATCCTGTCCTGGCTAGAGTAATTATCCATATGGTAACTTTTAAAAAATATATTTTATCTAGGTTTTTGGTTTCTACTGGTGGTGCATATCCGCACATTACCTCAATATGGTGCACATAACAAAATTCATTCCACACATGGATGGAAAAAATTTAGAGGGAACACTTCTCTGTACCCGCTCCCTCTGTCCCCATGTGTCTGTGCCCCCATCCAGCCACCCCCTGTCCCGATGTAGCTCTGTAACCCCTCCCCCATCAACATGTAGCCCTGCACCTCCCTCTCCCCTGTGGTCCTGTGCCTCCACTCCCATTCGGCCCCTGCCCCAGGATGTCACTGGGGAACTTGTAGTAGAGAGTCTCAAATTTACAACATATTTCAGTGACAAGCATACAGCAAAATCTCATAACTTCATACCCACTAACAATCTACATATTTGAACAGAACAATAAATTTCAGCAGATCATGACTTTTAATACTTTACATGGCATGCTTTGTATGAAATGTAACTATGACAGGGGTGAATATGGGGGTTCCAGGGTGCTGCTTTGAGGTACAGAGTGCCACAGGTGCTTAGGCTCCCTGGAGGAGGAGGGGGAGAGGGAGAGGGTTTGGGGCTTCAGTGAGTGGAGGGGTGGATGGGAGGGGTAAATAGGGATGGGCAGTAGGGGATGTCAGGCAGCTTGAGGGCTCAAGTGAGGGAGGTTTGGGGGGTAGGGAGACTGGGGGTGAGTAGAAGAGAACTAGGGAGGGGCATGTTAACCCCACATTCTTCCCTCCTATATGTGTATGCCTAGAGCTTGGGCACTATAGCTCCTTTTGGGAGGGGGTTTGAACCACCCTAACCACCCTCTGATATGAGCTAGGCTATGGGGGGGCCTTACTCCTCTGGGGGTGTCCGAGCTCATCTCACTACCCCATGATCGGGGAAGCCATGGCCATCTGCAAACATTGGACCTTCTCCTACTCAAGTGAGCCAAGCTTGCCCTTTTGGGAGGGGTCTGAGACTCCCTTCTTTCCCCCCACGTGAGCCTGGATCTGGGGAAGTCCTGTCCCTTTGGGTGGGGAGCTGATAATGGTATACTTTATGCATATCACAGGCTCTAAAGCACTCAGGAGGGGGATGGGAACATGTCACAGAGCAATTATTTCTCACTGCATTCATCTCCATGGAGTGACATTCAGTGTTGATAAATGCAACACTGGAAAACATAAGACAGGTGTTTCCAAAGACAGGTAGCACATAAGGTACTGGCACTGTCATTTCAAACCTGACTCCTGAGGGAAAAGAAATGTGCACTGCCAGGGTTGCCAAGGTGTAGGCTTCTGGGCAATTCCTAGATTGTGAAGTTGCAGAAGTTGTGGGAGAGCAAGGAGTATGCCACGACACGGAGATTGCTGTGTCTGGTTCGAGATGTTAAGTGTAGGACATAGTGTATATAGCTGCCTAAATGACTACTCACATCACATCTTTTCCTGTTAAAAGTACTAGGAAATTCAATAGCAAAAAAACTACATTAACACAGAGCTAGGGTTGCTTGGCTGTAGGTCATCCCCTTCCAGAATGCTGAGTTGAGCAAAACTCAAAGTTCAGAACACCAGGGCATGCAGAGTTAAGGTTGCCCATGCAAACTTAACTGCACTCTTTCAGCAGTGCCCCACTATGCCCCATTAACACACATACCTTTACTCTGCCAACCCCACACTTGCTGAAATGGGCAAGCCTTTCACCTCCTTTTACAACCCGTTCACTCTCATCTATAGGATTCCATCTAATGGTATTGAATGTCAATGACACTGCTGTCTGGTGGTTAGAGCACCCATGTCTGGGATGGGAGACCCAGGGTCCAGGCCCCCGGTTCTAATCACCACTACATCATTTAACCACAGTGGAACAGGAGAGACTGAGGGAGCCCTACATCAGAATATCCCATAGCCCAGAAGTTAGTGCACTCTCAAGTGGTGGGGGGCTCCTGTTCAAATTCTTTCTCCTGCTCTGGCAGAGAAGGGAGAATTGAATCTGGGTCTCCCACATTCCAGGTGCGTGCTCCAACTATTGGGCTAAAAGTTATAAGGTGCAAGGCAGTGGTGGTTCCTCTTACTGCCATTTTGGGTGAAGCAAGGCAAGCACCTAACTCATTCCCACAAGAAAGGCCTCAGTCACCCAAACCACCTGACTCCAGATGGCTGGTTCCCATTTGTGGATTGCTAAGAAGAGAGAGCCACTTATCTTGGTGAGGGGCAGGACTTCGGCCACATCCCTCTTGTCAGCAGCTCCCATTGGCTACCTGAGCTTTTGTGGATTCCATTCTTAGCTGCCTATCGCTCCCTATTCATTGTATAGGGAGCGTAGCTTGACTTTATGGATTGCAGTGTTGTTCCTGTGACTTTCCAGGCACCTAAAAGTTAGTCACTGCGATGCTCAGCATTGCAAGGCTTAAGCCCCTTCATAGATCTCCTCCTAAGATACTTACTCATTGTAAGGGTTGCAGAATCAGGGCCTAATGAACATACAATGTATTAAGGTACTTGTCACTACCCGTGTTTTTATGGCTTGATTTTCAGAAATGCCGAGTACACACAACTCCATTTCAAAATCAGTGAAGAATGCAGGTGCTCAGTACTTCTGAAAATCACGCCTTTAGTCTCTGAACTGGTGGACTTAAGACTTATTACAGTACAGCATAACAGATAATGGCTGATTGTTAATCAGAACAGACAGGATTGTAATTGACTTGATAAATTCAATCTGCCCCCTGGAGCCGTTATAATAAATGACATATGGTGAAAATAATTATATGTATTTCTATAGAAAATAGTCATTTAAAGTTAGAGGTGTACTTTCTTGTTTAATTTGGCAGTTTATAGTTAAATCTCAGAACTATCTTTAACATGCAAAACTATAATATAGGAAGTGGAATGTATTAGATGCAAGATTATACCATGGAGCAGAAGCCTAGTTACAATCTTTTTCAGCTGTTCTAGGTTTTTGCATGCATCAGGGGTGGTTTGGTAGGTCATCCTAGATGCTATCAGGTTTTGCTACTGCATCCTGGAATCCCAGATGGTGCCTACTGGTACCACACTGTAGAGTGAAACTCTAATAATCTTCATGTGCTAGGGCTCATCTGCACAGTCAAAACAACTGAAGCCATGTTTACACTATGGGGACCATAGGGGCACAGCTTGTGAGCACCTTAACTATTGTCGACCTAAGTTTTAAGTGTAGATCAGGCCTGAGTTTAACAATGTCTGTTAATTTGATTTGGCCGTAATAGCATTTAACGTACATTAACGTGATGCATCTGAAGTGGTGGCTTTTTACCCACAAAAGCTTATGTCTGAATAAATCTGTTAGTCTTTAAGGTGCCACTGAACTCCTTGTTGTTTTTGTGGTTTAGATTGACCCCTTTGTATTATAAACAGGTAAGTGTAAGCTCCTTGGAGCAGAGATTGTGATTTCTTTTTGTTTGTACACCCTCGCACACTTCAGGTGCTACCAAAATAATTAGTCAATACAACTCGTGAAGAGCCAGATCCTGATCTTACACCATTCTTGCAGAAGTGAAACTTTTCTATGGTCTTTGCAGTTACTCTTAGTTACTGATTTAACTAAGTTCAGAACCAGGCCATAAATGGAAAAACTTTAAAAACCCAAACAAACAAACTACAGAAGAACCTCAGAGTTACAAACACCAGAGTTATGAACTGACTGGTCAACCACACACCTCATTTGGAACTAGAAGTATGCAATCAGGAAACAGCAGAGACACCCCACCCCACCCCACCCAGTAAATACAGTACAGTTCTGTGTTAAATGAACTACCAAAAAAAAAAAAAAAAAAGGAAAATTTAAGAACAGTTTTGACAAGGTAAGGAAACAGTTTCTGTGCTTGTTTCTGTTTGAGGGTTAAAAACAGCATTTTTCTTCTGCATAATAAAGACTTAAAGCTGTATTAAATCAATGTTCAATTATAAGCTTTTGAAAGCATCACCATAACCTTTTGTTCAACGTTACGTACTGCTGAGGTTCTGCTGTGCGCTTCTGCTCTACTCCGTCCACACAAGCTGGACCAAACGGTGTTATATGACCTGCTTTGACCACAGTGGACTCTAAGCAACTATTTTCCAAGTCGGTTACTTTTCTAGACAGAACCCTCTAAACACAGGAGGAAATATTTTTAAGCTCCACAGCCAGGGCAGAGAATTGTTTGGGGGGCGGGTGCCAAAGAGGCGCAGCACATTTTAATCTTTTAGACGTTACCTTGAGTCATCTAGTCTAGCTCACGCCTGCAATAATTTGCATTAGTTTCCCAGGCCGGAAGAGTGCTGCGTAAACTCCAAGCCTTCTCTTTTTCCACAACAGCAGTTGGTTCAATAAACGATATGACCTCACCCCCCCGCCCTTGTCGCTCTAATACTCTGGCAGTGGCAGGGCTACCCTCCCGCGGCCGAGAACTCGCGCGAGCCTGTTTGCAGTGCTCGGAGAACCATACTAGGGATCGTTCACCCCTAGCCTAGTCGACCGTCTTCAGCCGAAGGCCACGCTCAGGCGCAAAGGTGCACACGTCGCTCGCTCACACCCACTCCCAAGCCTAGGGCAAGGGACGCACTGCCCTACACGGGCACCCGCTTGCTTACGGGTCAAGGGTCGCTGCCCCGCGGGCCTGACAGCCCGCGCCACGCCCATTCCCCCAGCCGCGCCGGGCCGGCACTGCGGGGGCGCCCGCGGCTGCGCTCCGCGGCCCAAGCCAAACGGGCGTGGGGCGGAGGGGGCGTCCCCAGCCTTCTGCCGGCGCTGGTTCATCGGCATGGCAACGGAGCCTGTCGCGAGACCCGCCACCCAGGCTCACAGCTCCCGTTCGCGCGCACAGGCCGGGCCGATGCCGTGGCGAGACGCCTCTGCACGCGCCCGGCGCCGCTCGCGGGGTCTCTGAGCCCCGCCGCAGCAGCCAAGCGCCTACCGCCATCCTTAGCTCCGCCCCCGGCCCGGCCCAGCGGGGTAGAGGGGCAGAGAGCGCGGCGCGTGACCGCAGCCTCCCCTGAGGCGGATCAGGCTACAGCCACGTGACTTCCTCTCTCAGTCAGGCTGGGGCCTCCGCCCGCTGTGGGCCGACCACCAACCGTTCCGAAATAAAATGTGGCAGCTGAGGGACCGCTCGTCGGCCCAGCGCGGTGCGTTCTCCCTCTGCATCCCGTGCTTCTCCTCCCCTGCCCAGCGTCTGTGCTTGCGTTTCATTGCTGGGCCTTGGTTCGGAAAACTTCGGGCATGTTTCTGGCCGGCCCAGCGGACTGTTCTAACCCAGGGTTAAGGTCTACCGCGCGCCGACTGTCCTGGGGCTGTACCATTTGGGAGAGAGGAAAAAGCTGGCTGGACCAACAGAGAGAAAATTGACACCATTGGGGGCCAATTACAGGGAGCCTAACACTGTCACGCCCCTGCGGTTAGTGGTTTCTCCTTGCGAGATGGGTTGGCCTGAGGGGCGTGCCCTCCTCCACCCCACCCCCCGGCTCACTGTGGTTGAGTCTGGAGGAGTCACGTGCTCTTCCTGCCCGGTGCGTGTGAGGATGATGGCTGCACTGTTGGGCTCGGCCTGCCGGCTCCGGCCTCTCTGGTCCCGCCTCCTCCGGCTGCCGCGTGGAGTCGCTGCCCACCGTCCCTCGCCCCGCGCCGCCGGGCTGGCGGGAGCCCCTGGCAGGTGAGTGCCCGGGCTCGCTCGCGGGGAGGCGCTCCCGCTCGGGAGGACTGGGGCGCCCCTGAGGGGAGCGCGTGGGCCAGCCTGGGCCGCAGCGCAGGGGATGGTCCAACCTACGGCTCTGCTTCCTTCTCTTCCCATCCCTGGGCCGTGGGGCCGTGACTCCGCTTCCCACCAGTCCGGGCCCTGCGGCAGCTCCGCCCCTTTCCTCGGGCAGCGCCCTCGAGACCTCGCGTCTCCTGTGCCCGCGCCTCGTCCCTTCCTTCGGGCGGGGCAGCCCTTGTCTCGCCTCTCACGGGCGCTGTTGCCTCCTGGGGTTCCCTGAGCCCCCCGTAAGACCTTGGGTGGCTGCGAAGAGCTGGTCGAGGGCGGAGGGACCGGCCTCGTGTTGCATGGTGACCTCTTCGCCAGAGGGAAGCTTAGGACCCGCGGGCCTGAACAGGGCAGCTTGGCTTGTCGCACGCGGACAGTAAACTAGGTCTGCTGCTGGCACGGTTCTCTTCCCATTACAGGAGCAGCCGAGGGTTCCCGAGATATGGCTCTGTTGTGTTGGGAGCTGCACAGAGGAGGGGTCAGCTTCCCTACCAAATAGCTTATTTATAGTCAGACACAGGGAAAGCTGGCAGGGAGAGATGAAGTGATTCGTGCAAGGTCATGCAACAGGTCAGGGATAGGAAAAGAACCCAAGTTGTCTTTCCCCCCTTTTCATTCTAGACCATAAGACCACACTGTCTCTGTTCTGATTCTCTCAGGGATATTCTAATACCCTTGGGGTGGTTCCAGCTTCCACCACTTGGTTGGATGGTGACTATCCCAGTTCAACTTCCATTATTACAATAAAATGTTGTAGGTACTGTACAGAAACAAGTAGAGAGACGGGACTAGATTTACAAAAGGAGTTAGGTGCCTATGTCAACATTTAGGTATTACATACCTTCCAAACCCCAGTTCTGCTTCCATCTCACATTGGAGGTGCCCGAAGCCCTTAAATTTCCACTTATAAAGTCCTCAAGGTGCCTAAGTTTGTGCTAGGGAGCATGCATGCAGCCATCTCATTCTATATGCCTGGGAACCTCTTTCTTATCTAAGTTCCAGTGGGGTCCTCAATGAGGTCTTCCCTCACCTATCTGGCCTACAGGGCTTGATCTGGGAGGTGTTCTGAACATGCAAAATGCAAACCCATGCAAAATGGCTGAGTAAGAGTCGGTCCCCTTACTATTTTTAGCCTCGTGGTTAGGACACTCCACTGGGATGTTGATCTGGCTTCAGTTCCCCCCTTTTTCTGGTATTGAAAAAGGGATTTGAACTTAGGGGTCTCACTTCTCAGATAGGTATCCCAATTTCTGGGCTTTAGAGTATTCTGATATGGCTCTCTCAATCTCTATTGTTGGAGCTGCTCCACTTTGTATGACTAATTAAATATGCGTTGGCTACAATGGTTCTCAAACTTTTGTACTGGTGACCCCTTTCACATAGCAAACCTCTGACTGTGACCCTCCCCTTATAAATTACAAAGTTTTAAATATATTTAACACTATTATAAATGCAGGAGGCAAAGCAGGATTTGGGATGGAGGCTGACAGCTCGTGATCCCCTCTCCCCCAGTAATAACTTCATGACACCCTGAGGGGTCCCAACCCCCAGTTTGAGAACCCCTGGGCTAGAGAGAGTGTGCGACAGTGGTCCAGTGGTTAGGGTACTCACCTGAGAGGTGGTAAAATCAAATCTCAGGAAGAGAGGGGAATCTTGGGTGAGAGCCTTTAGCTCAGTGATTAGGGCAATGAGGGTGCTGCCACTTTGCCCTCTGGTGTTTCTTGCAACAAGTTGCTAAGGTGCTGACGTAAATTCCCTCAAAGCTGCCTGGGGGAGAGGAGCCCCAGTCTAACCCTGACCTGCTGTGGCTGGCGGAGAGGCCCCCCCAATCCCGGATGTTCTGCAGTTGGGGGAGAGGTGCCCCTCCCCTGGCCCCAGTCTGGGGGAGAGGCGCCCCTCCCTCGGTCTTGGCCCTAGCCCAGCCCCAGACCTGCTGCGGCCAGGGGAGAGGTGCCTCTCCCATCCCCAGCCCAGGTGCTGCTGTGGGGGGAGTCCTCTCTCCCCACCGTAGCCCGGGGCAGCCTGCATCTTGAACGCTTCATCCCCGGCCCCACCCCAGAGCCCTCACCTGAACCCTCTGTCCCAGCCCTGAGCCCCCTCCCACACTTCGAACCCCTTAGCCCCACCATGTGAATTTTGTTATGTGCGTCAATATGGAGGTGATGTGTCAAACAAAATTCATTCTGCAAGTGTGTGGGCAAAATAGAGGGAACACTGGGGCTGACCTGCAGAAGCAGGTTCATGACTGGGAATCCCAATCAGAGTTAGGTGCCTAACTTCCTGTGGGATGGGACATAAGCCACACCCCTTTTCTCAGCTTTTCCTATTGCCTTGCTTAGGCAGCTTTGCACTTAGCATGCTGGTTTTTGTGGAGACTGTTCTCTGGCACCTAACTCATCTCATGCATTGTATATGGAGCCAAGATGCCCATTACAGGGCTGTGGATTCCACTGGGTGGCAAGGTGCCTAAAGGATATGCATGAGAACAGTTAAGTCCATTTGTGGATGTGTCTTACAGATGCATCCCTTAAGAGTTTTCAGTGTATAATACTACGAATGATGTTCATAAATGAATACTGAATGGGGAAAGCAAGAGATGCAAGACAAGGTACTGTTCTCATGTGGCTGTTCAGTAAGGCACATTCATATTCTTATGTTTCCAGGAGACCCATGCAGCATGTTGCGCTTGCATCAGAAAGTAACAACTATCTCTGCAACTTTTAGACATTTTGAGTTTTTTCTCATAGGCAGCTAACAAGCCATTATCTCTTCTATTAAGGTGCAGCCTTGGACATCAGCAGGTTCCAGTGCTCATATAAATGGTTCATAGAAACTTTGATCTTAGTATGTTGTGCTCAACATGATCTGTGGACTGAACCTCTATTAAAAGTTGAGGGGAACTGCAGTTTTCTCTATTGTATGGGAAGAATAGCTTTCCCTAAGTTGGCCTCAACTATTTTAGTCAAGAAGGCGAGCTGCTTTGGACAGGTAAAGAGAGCTATATCTCATGGTGTCGAGTGGTGTCGGTGACTATGAAACTTTGTTTCAACAGAGGGGTTCCTTCGTGAAACAGTGTCAGGGAATACTGTACCATCTGCAGACCTTTTAGCCATTTAAGAAGTAGGGGAGAGGGATCTATTCACAAGTTTCCTTCTCTGAGTCTGTTTTAGGCACAGGATCAGTCTTATCACTTTCCTGTCAGAGCCAGTTTTTTGAGTTTGTAGAGCCAGTGGTCACCCAGTGAAATTTATAGGTAGCAGGTTTAAAACAAACACAAGGAAGTACTTCTTCACATGATGCGCAGGTAGCCCATGGAACTTGTTGCCAGGGCATGTTGTGAAGACCAAAATTGTAACTGGATTTGAAAAAATTTAGATACATTCAGGGAGGATAGGTCTATCAATGGCTATTAGCAAAGATGGTCAGGGATGCAACTCCATTCTCTGGGTGTCCCTAAGGCTCTCACTGCCAGATGCTGGGACAGGACACCTGGGGATGGATAACTTGATAATTGCCCTGTTCTATTCATTCCCTCTGAAGCATTTAGTGCTGGCCACTGTTGTAAGACAGGATACTGGACTAGACAGATGAATGGTCTGACTCCCTATGGCTCTTCTTATGTTGTAGTTTAGACAAATGCGTGGTCACATTAAAATCATACTTCATGAAATATTCATAGGCATTTCTTAGTAATGGCTACTTCTACCTCAACTTTCATCCTGCTGCCTTCTGCTCTTTTTGTACAGTAACTCCTCACTTAAAGTCGTCCTGGTTAACGTTGTTTCCTTGTTAGGTTGCTGATCAATTAGAGAACATGCTCGTTTAAAGTTGTGCAATGCTCCCTTGTAACCTTGTTTGGGAGCTGCCTGCTTTGTCCACTGCTTGCAGAAAGAGCAGCCTGTTGCAGCTAGCTGGTGGGGGCTTGGAACCAGGGTGGACCGGCAGCCCCCCATCAGATCCCCCTAAGTTCCCTGTGTGGCAGCCGCCCAGCAGGCTATCAATTGCCAACCGTTCAGCTTGTCCCTCCCCCCGCTGCCGTGTGCTGCTCCTGCCCTCTGCCTTGGAGCTGCTCCCAGAGCCTCCTGCTTGCTGTGCAAGGGGCGAGAGGAAGAGGGGTGCTAATGTCAGGGTTTCCCCCTCCCCCTGCCCCCACTCCTGTACCCTATCTCCAAGGGGGGGACGGACATGACAGGGCTCAGGACTGAGGGAGCTTGCTGGCGCCATCTGCTGTGTCTGAACTTGCTGATCTACTTAAAAGGGCAGCACAGTTAAAGTGGGGGCAAAGCTCATCTCTCTCACACACAAGGTGTGTATTCTGTCTCTCTCTGCCGTGCTGTCTCCACTCCCTCCATTCGTGCTGTCTTGTAGAGTGTGAG